TGAAAACGAAAAAACCTGAATTGTCATCTACTTATCTAAGTGTATCGGTCAGATTTAAACATTTGAAGTGTGGGTTTGAAATTTGTATTAAAACATATACAATTAAAGTTTATTTTTTCCTTCTTTCTGTATAATTATAATTTCAAACCCAGCTAACGATGTCGGAACTGTGCCATTAAATCAGTTGGTGTTGGAAATGGCTCAAAATGATCCTCTATTAATTCCTTTGTGACGCTTCGCTGAGAGCAACTGGAAGGCTTTTAACATCGCGGGAAACTTCTTAAAGAAACACTTTGCTTCCCATTTAGTCTCAGAATTCTTCTCCCTCTGAGGTCAGGTTCTCCTTTCACTGCTCAGCTTTTAAAATCACTCTCATTTTTTTTAGCATATTTGCCTTTTTGCTTTAGTTTGCCGCCCTCATGTTGGCAGCCACACAGACATAAATCATTTAGGAGGCTTAAATGCTCATTGTTCATTTCAGCATTGGCAATCGTTAACGTTTCCTCAGATTAATAGCCCTCTTTAGCAAAAGCAAACTTATTTAATTGGTTGGATTCTGGGTATGTTTGATTTTGTTGTAGTATAAATGAGTCAGTCACATATTTACAAAATAAAGAACCAAACAAATCAAACCGCCCAGACTGAATGATGGAAATGAAATGTTCAGTTTTTATGTATTTTAATTATTACAATATAAGATAAAAGGATGAGAGAACAGGTCAATGCTGCTATAGCTTCTAATCTAGTGAGTCAGAGGAAAGCTGCAAAAAATAAAAAATTAGTTCTGTGTGTCTCTGCAGGCTCTTTTGAAAGTCTAGTTTCTAACTTTTTCAAACATGCCACAGTAGGGTTAATCTTTTTTTTGTGTTAGTTTATTGGTAGGAAGACTGCTGTCCTGTTGCATTAATTTGTGCCGGCTTCATACACCTTTTCCTTCAACATTATCATTATAATTTCATTGTTTGCCCTGGAATAGACCTGCATTTCAGAAGAAGTAGAAAGACACAAAGAACTGCAGTTGAGTTTCTGATTTGGAAAATCACTTTGGACGTGTTACATGTTTTTACATTTGCATATCATCCACCTATGAATTTGCACAGTTTGGTCACTAGAATATCATCTGCATAATATCATCTGCATATTGATTAAGGCAAATGTGCAAAATAAAGGTTTGCAGACCCTCTGTTGAATTGCAAACTCAACTCGCTTTGCATTTTTTTTGAAGATCCGCTCCATGCATACAAACACGTTCACACACATTTTAAGATGCCAAACGCCGCTCAAGATCAGGCTCAAAGACTAAGACAAAAACTTGATGGCTGCCAAAATCAACACTGTCTGGGAGTTTGATGCTATCTGTCAGAGAATTGATGGTTTATATAACAGTTTGATGCTGTATGCGTGAGTGTGTGGGACATTCAGATTTTTTGAGTGTTTGTGAGAAAGTTTGATTGTCAAGTAAATAGCTGTAATTTTATTTTATTTTTTCCAAGGGGCCTCTCATTACTTTGAAGATTTGTTAATCCCTCCTTCTTAATGATGCCTTTGCTTCTTTAGATGCAGTCAGCATCCAAAGTGCATCGATTAAAGTCAAAGTTGTGCCTGTGTCTTAACAGTTTGCCTGTTGAATCCTCTTACTCCGTGCAGAAAAAAAGAGAAATCAGCCACTGACTTTTTGATCGCCTTAATAATAAAATGGAAAAATTTTCCAGGTCTAATCTTGGCAGTGATTTAAGCCAGATGCCTTGAACACGTAGTTCAACAGAGCTCCCGCGGTTAAAGACAGAAGAGTTTTTTACCTCTACTATCAGGGATGAAAGCCTGTTCTAGGGACAGATTTAGTTATTTATTTTCTTCTCAATCCTCAGATGTTTAGCAATGATTTGCATCCATCCAGACATAGCAGCCCACAGACAACTAACATCCTTTCAACCAAGCAACAGTGATGTGTTTACAGGAATGTCTGGTTTAAAACTAATATAATAGCAGGCATTACAAGACAGTAATGAGGACTAGAAGTCCAGCAAATCATTTCTGTTTTCCAACTTCCCATATGATTATCAATAAATACATTTTATTTTCTTATTGTGTAGCTTTCTCTATTTTCTGTCATCAGATCTTGTTGATCTTGTTATGTGTTCTTTTTTATATAATTATCATGTTTCGCTGGTAGAAACAGAAATAAAAGAAATCTGTCTCCATCCATGGTGTTCTAGTTAATGGATGGGAGCACAGGTTTTAAAATAAGCAGTGATTTTATGCAGAATCGACTGAGACGGTTGATGTGCTCCCTCCACCTCTAGATTAGATCCATTAAATCTAGAACACTAGCATTTTCATTTTGTATTGTTGGATCATAACCTGGATCCAAGTGGAGCTTTAAAATACAAAAAAAAGACAAACTAAAGATAATTCAAAGGGTCTGTATTACATCATCATTAGGGATTAAGACCCAACACCTACCCACCCATCCGAAAAGCAAAGTGTCCTAAAAGAAGCTCAGCAGTGATCGGTTTACTCCTATGAGAAAATAACTCAAACTCAGTCAGAGTGAAACTGATCCATCTGTAAGCAGCCATTCCCGTTTTATATGTAAATATGAATATTTCCTCGCTGTCTTTTTCCCCCTGGAACAACAATTCAACACCAAATCACTTTTCCATGCAATCAACTTAACCTCATAGTAAAGAAAAAAGAATTACGGCACTTTAAAAGCTGTGTAACTATTAGAGGTTTGCAGGAGTTAAAACTTTCTTTGATGCTGATCAGGTGTTTGGTGGGACTGAACTTAGTTAGAGGTATTAGATTTAGGCTGAATTCATGTGCTCCTTTAAATTTTTACTCATTCCCAACTAGAGGTTGTCAAAAGCATTGATACTCAAAAAAGTATCGATACTAAAACATTGCATCCAGAGACGATACTCATTTTCAAAATGATCAATACCACCTTTCTCTGTTGAAGTCACAGAATGAAGCAGAGAGAAGTAGAAACGTCCAAACAGCAAACACAGCCGACTCTACCATCTATGTTTGACCAACAACAGAAATATGATGCCACGTCTCCAGAAGCATGAAAATAAACAGAGCTGTGGCAGAGTTCATATGTATCGATCAGGTTCCTATTTACACTGTGGAGAAATCTGGGTTCCAACAACTTATTAAGCAGCTAAACCTAATAAAAATATTTCTGTAAAATTTTGGGGTCTTTGTTTTTATCCACAAGGATAAAAACAAAGACCTGAGTATCGATATTGAGTAGAACATTTTGGTATTGTGACACCCCTAATCCAACCCCCGAACCCCGATGCTAACAAAAGAACCCTATCTCAAGACCGTGTCCTAATCGTATAAAAATCTTTGTTAAATCCATTTTTTATCCATGATCAAAGAAGGCAGAATACAATGTTTGGTAGATCACTAGGACAGAACAGGAGAGGCCTCTGCCTGGATTAAGATCCACAGAATTAGACCCAGTTGTACCCCACCCCCACACTGACCTTCTGGGCCAGAGCTCACTTTTATCTTGGCAGGGATTGGTCCTTCTAATTCCATCCACATATAATTTAATAGGAAGCTATTGACCAGGCCATATAATACTCTTGGAGATGGCTCTGCTGAGGCCATCTCCATGTTGGAGATGGCCTCAGCAGACCCAGGGCCATCTCCAAGGACAGCTCCCACCCTGGCTCCACCCTGTTTGACCTGTTGCCCTCTGGAAGGCGCTACAGGCAAATGAGGATCAGGACAAACAGACTCAAAAATAGTTTATTCCCCCAAGCCATTGCCGCCCTCAACTCCGACCTGCACTGTCGGTCACTTTACACCTGTTTTGCACTACCCCCCCCCACCCCCACAATATGTGCCAGTACTGTTTACATTTCCTTTTCCTTCTAATATACGTATATTTTTATTTCACGGTAGCTGAAATGGAAGTCCCAAAAATCTCATTGTATCCGTTGTAGAATATGATGACAATAAAGGCTTTTTAACTTTAACTTAAAAAAAAACAAAACCCTGTAGTCTTGTAATATTTTAATATTATAATTTTTACAGCAAAGTTTGAAAAGACAGTTTCTTCCTTCTGTACGAAATTCAGTTATTTCGGCATTAAATGTGGATGAAACTCATTAGAATAACTTGAATTGTTTCTAAATTCTTTATGTTTGGTTTGAACCAGGTCCCCTATATTCTCTGTTTCCTGTGTCGCTGTTTGCAATAAATAACAGTCACTTTCTTTACATCTAATATCACTTTAATCAGTGAGAGTCAGTCAAAAATTCTTCATTTTAATCAGTAAAGGAAACAGAAAACAGCCCATTATTCTGCATTTATGTCTTTAATAGGAAGTAGATGAAAGTTTCCCCATGCTGAATTTTGGGAGTGTTTCCGCAACATAGAGTCTGTTTAGTCTATTTTTTCATTTACTTAAGAGAATAATTCAGGCAGTCTGAATAACAAATCCAGTAGCTCTGACTAAAATAGCAGCCGCAGACTGAGACACCTGACATACCTGGAGACGTAGCTTTTTTAAGGACATGAATCGCTCAAAATAAATAGAGATTTCTATTGTTATTTTAATGTTAACATTAGATATCTAGTTTTTACCTTAAATGAATAACTGTGTTGTTTTTTATCTTACCAATAAAGCTCTACTGGGATCATTTCTAAGAATCAAAACTCCTTTACTCATATTGAGTCCCTTGTTTTTTAGCTCTGTCTTTAGATCCTTTAGAGCACAGATAAATGCTAATCCACCACCGTGTGTTTGAGACATTCCTATAAAAAACTGTTTCTGTCTGTATTTGGAGTCTGAAAGTGTGCCGATTCATACCAGCCGGGAAATTACCTACCAAGCAGCTCTAGGAAGACAAAGCCCAGCTGACACACACACACCTTTAAAAAAAGTTCTTTAGAAAATCTTCCCAGTGCTGAATGCTAATGCCATTATGCTTTTTCCTCCTTTATGCCCGGCCCGTCTCCACGTTCCTGTGTTGCTGCAGATGTGACTCAGAAAACCGATACCTTGGTAACCCCCTCCGTGGAACCTGTTATTGTAAGTATGCTCAAACGCACCCCACCCCCCCATTGTCTCTGACTTGCACACATACACCAGTATGAGCTGTACTGTCTGTCGGTGCAATGTTCCATACCCCTGGACGCAAACTGACCTTGAAAGCCACTTTGTATGTAGACACACGGCTCTGAAGCAGAAACCATTCATCTAAATGTTAGCCAACCTGCATTTGGATCTTAAATAACGAACCAAAGACCTTTAATCTGTCTACTGCGGACACTCCTCTTGAAATGCATAGAAAACTTCTTATTATTATGAGTCGCTCATACATAACATGGAAACCAGAGAAACATAATAAGCCTCATGTCGATGATTGTTAGGAAAGATTTTTGTTTTCCCCTTGATTTTGGATTGCTGAGCGTGCATAATCCAAACTAAACGCAAATAAGGTTTTCTACAAGTCGCTTCTAGTTGAAAGGGACCTGGATGTGTGCATTCAGGCATAGATTTACTCTGATTAATTCAGAGTAAATCTATGCCTGGTAAGTTTGATTCTCGGTAAGTTTAATCTCTTTTATTTTTTCTGATTGTCAGGATATAACAGTCTTCTCTTCATTGTTTTATCTAGGCTTTCAGGGGGTCTCATGGGTTAATCGGGGGGGTCGAGCCCCCCTGGACCCCCCGTATTTCACACTCTGATAATAAACCTACTAGAAGGCAAAGGAAGCACAATCTGAAGCCATTGAAGGGGACCGATAACTGCTAATAGCGGCCATTTAAATGTTAAACACATCCAAAACGGTTGTCAGACTTGGGCAAACCGCTCTGCTGGAAAACTTTGTAAGGACTCTGAGCAGAAGCATTTTAAATAAGTTTTTGTTATCTTATTGATTTGTGTTTAGTGCAGGAAAAAAAAATCAAAGCATTTCAATAATGCAGTCTGCTCAAAACTATCTTTTTCAGTCTTTGGGGGAAATCAGTCCTCTAATTTGGCCAATGTTTTTTGAAGTGAGGTTCGATAAATTCTGGCTTTCATCGAGTATTGTAATGTATGGAAACTACTAATATATGGATAAGAAAAAGGACAATATTGATGTAATGCTGATGGGATATACAGTGTTATTTTACTGCACCTTAAATCTGCTGCATTTTAAAATAAACACTATTCATTTCCATGGATTTTGAGACTGAAAATTAGTAAAAACATGTCTAATTTTCAGTGATTCTGGAAGGTATTTCCAGCAAAAACTAAAAGATCCTTAACAGAAGATCCCTGAAGCATGGAAATATGTTTTGAGAAATAAAAGTAATAATTTTCTTTCCTCTCATACTGAGGATAGAGAAAGAGGAAATAAAAGTAATGTTTTCTTGATGGGTTTTGTTTTCCTGTTTCCAGATGCAAGGCAGGGTTCACATTGACTAGCTTATTTGCAACAAATTGCTGGTTTTTGACTCTGGAGGGCAGATGAAGGGGAAAAGCAGTAGAGAAAACAGATGTTTTGTAGCATGCAAGTGTGTGCCCTTTCTCCTCATCACTCATCCTAGAAAAAATATCATCGTTCCAAATATTACACCATACTGGCTGATGGTTAAAGTTCTGTCAATGTCAACCATCTAGAGTTAGTGCGACTATTAAAGCTGCAATGGCAGACGAAATGGAGCAGTTAAAGGAGTGCTACCAGCACCTAGAGATCCTAGAGAAAATGAAAATAAAAGTGTTTTCAACAATATATGCAGGAAATGTAGAAAAATTATGAAACTTTTTCTTTTTACAGCTGTTAATGGAGCTGTAAAGGCGAGAAACAGAAATGCCACAATTTGTTAAGGAAGAAACCATCCTTAACAAAATTTTAGCTTTAAAATCGCTAGATGGCACCAGTGCAGTGCCCTTTCTCAGCATTGTGTGTTGCTTTAGGTAATACATATGCATCCGGATACACATGTACTGGTTTTAGGAGCTATTAGTCTGTGATTGCAGGGCTCTTTGATATCGCTATGGCTACAGCTGAAGTGCTGTGTGTTTTCTTTTTTTTTATTTCCCTGCATACGTTTGACTCCATTATGACTTTCATTAATAAAGGCATTACGGTGTAACACTGTTTGAACAAGAGCAAGCATGATCGGATGTAAATACATCCAAACCCTTCCCGCCACAAAGTTGCGGTCTTCTGCACACGCATACAGATTGCATTTGTGTGCAAATGAGAAATTTCAAAGCAATCCACTTCCTTTTTACCATGAGGAGTGGGGCTGCAATTGTGAGTGAGGTCAATATTAGCTTTAAATGTCATTGAGCAGAAAGGACTGATAAGGAGGGGAAAAAAACTTAATTTTTTTTCAGGTTAACCTATATAGGGGGAAAGGCTCTATTTGGTTAAAAACTGAAATATTAAAAGGAAAAGTTTGTGTCAACTAGGTTTCTGTGCTTTTAAATGTGGAATAATATTTGGTTTATTAACCACAGAACCAAAGTAGATCAAAGTGACAGGTTTATGTTGACAAAAAAAGGACAAAAAACATTTATTTTTAGCAGGACGTATGACTTTTAACATTTTACAATTATGCTATTGATTTTATTAATGTGTTTTTAAAGTGATCTTTAGTTTAAAATTTTGATTTTACCCTTCTATAATGATTTGACCTTTAGCACTTTGAGATTTTTTCCTAAATGTAAAGTGCATTACAAATAAAATGTATTATTGTTATTATTAATATTATCTCAACCTTCAGAAGTCATGCATATATAAACATGTAGAGTGCATTGCTTTCCAAACAGTATGATTCATTGACTTGTTCCTTCTGTCACATTATAACCTACTTTATATTTGCTGTAATAAACAAACAAGGAATTGTAATCATTGGTAAGCAAATGGAAGAGGATCACAGACTTTTTCATCTTTTCCAATAGTACAAAAAAGCAAAATCATGACCTGCCATTTTGAGCATCAGGGACAACTGGTTTAATTATAAAGTCTGTGGTCGATACCCATCAAGAGGAGTCAAGGAATCCTACGGCGTGTTTTAACCCCTGCCCTGCACATTTTTGAAGTTTTGAGCATTATGTGCATCGTCTTTTGAGCTTAAGATTGTCAAATACTGAAATCGGAAAATCTGAGCTTTTGTATTCAGTATTTTAAAATGAGGCAGATCATTAGGCCTTCAGCCAAAAGATATTAATTTCTCAGTTTGTTTGTTTTAAAACTGAATCTTTATAAAAAAAAATAATCATGCTTAAAACAAAAAAAAATTCCAGGAGTTGTCTTGTTGCTTAGGGCCACTTTCTTGCATGTTTTAAACCTTGCCTGCCTTAAAATGCCTAAAATAGAGAATTAGCTCATTAGGAGGTTTGACTGGCCTTGAAAACAAACTAGGAATATAGTTCATTTATTTGAATCTGGTGTATTAACTTTTTACAACATGGGCAGGATAAAGGACAACGATGAGCAGGAGCTGTGAAAATTGATCTGCATGTCCTCCTCCAGGTTAATCACGAGGTTTATAAACATACCTTTATCAATCTTTCCAATCAACCTTTGCAGAGCTTAAACTGCCAGATCATTTTCACAAACATCACTGGCTTTTTTAGAGAGATGGAACAATGATTACAAATATCTGCAGTGAGTCAGAGATCCAAAAAAGAACAGAAAAAAGGTCCTTTAAAGGTTGGGATAAACCAAACTTAATGGAAGGAAATGCTCAAAGTTGATTGGCTGCAAACGGTACTAATCAAACAAGATTTGACCTACAAAGAAATATTTAAAATAACTATATTCTTGTTTTTATCACATACATTCAATTAAACCATTTTGTACTTGAGCTCCTAGTGATCTATTCAGGTAAGGTTGTTGCCAAGAAAGTTTGTCACATTTCTAGAAATGCTCACATTAGGGGCATGTAGGTGGCGCAGCGGTTAGCTCGCACAGCCTATGTACGGATACCTTAGTCCAGCCAATTCAGGTTTGAGTCTAACCTTTGGTCCTTTGCCACATGTCTCTCCCTCTCTCATACCCCCTTCCTGTCAGCCTACATTTGAAAAAATTATCCACTAGTGCTGTAAACCCCCCCAAAAAAAGATATGCTCACATTATTGCAGAGTGCAGAAAAAAATTCTCTAATTTATGCTAAATCTGTCAAACATTCACTAAGTGAAAATGTTTAAAAAATAAAACAGTGAAAACAACTTCTTTGCAACTCTTTTTTAAACCGGTGTGCCTAAATGCAACAATGAAATTTCCCAATAATGTCTCTAAACACTGAGGTAAAAATAAAAGGCAGATTGTTACTCTGTGATGTAGGAAACATAACATCGTATGATTTCTGTGAAATGAAATGAGGCATGTGCAGTAAATACCAGCCAGTATGACTTGGCCTGTGATGTTAGTGTCATGGACCACGGTGGTGGCAACAACTAAATACAATAAAGAAGACTTTACAGTTCTGACAAACACAAGTAGATCAGGTTTCTTTAAGCAGTGATTGCTGCACATTTCATAACAGGGAAGTTGAATCCTATAAATGTCCAGCTCACCTCATGTCCAGGGCTCTTTGGTGTCTGACTCCATGTTTTGGTGCCAGTTTTTTCTAGGCCCTCCATTTTGCCTGTTGGTTCCTGGTCAGTGTTTTCTGTTTTCTGGACAGTTTGGCTGATCCAGCACCATTGTCTCTGGAGGATTGCTTTCTCCACATGCTGCTATTTTGTTAGCTGCCACAATTCTTGGTTGCTGGCTCTGTTAGGCCATAAGATATACTTACCTTAGAAACCTCCTAAGGAATATCTAGATTATCTTTTTGGTCATGATGGTGGCTCTCTTGGTCTAATCTCCATAGAGTAGCACAGTCTTCATAACGGTGTGTAAAAGCTTGATCTGTCTGTAAATCCAAAGGTTCTCTAGTTGTTGGAAAGCCGCATGCGCCTTCCCAATCATTGTTCTTACAATTACATATGTCCTGTGCATCTAGTAATTATGCCAATAACCAACAATGATATGTGGGTTTCCTACCAAAGACTAAATGCAAACATTAAAACTAAATGAGACGAT